TTTAGCGCGGACCCGACGTCCATATAATTGTAAGTCAATGATTTACACTGATTAGTATACAGTGTGGAAACACGATTGAAAGAAACACAGACTTACTTCAATTTCACAAGAAAACCTCTGTATTCAACGGGTACTTTACATATCCCAATGACTTTTTTTTAACATCAACTGAACTAAATAGAACGCTTAAAGTATATGATATATATTTTTTCAAATGGCTTTAAAATTTGCCCAAAAAACTTGGATGCGAGCTGAGATAGTATCGACTCTTAATGAAGGATAACTTTCTGCCGAGTAATGACGTCCTTTTCAGATTAAGGAGTAACCACACTCCGCGTCGGCGGTCCGAGAGGAAATGCAACATCTTTTTCGCATTTTTTGCATGGATATAAAGGCTTTTCTCACCAGCTCAAGCCAATTCCGCGTCGCTATGGTCCCTCCCTAATCTAAAAAGGATCTCATGACCGAAAGTTAATCATTTATTAAGTATAACCATAATGGGTAGATTAACCTACCACAAACTCGAATATACTTTTTCCGAAATAGCGTTTGTTCGAATTTTCATTACACCGAAAACCGAATTATAACGAACCCGTTGTTCTTTACAAGATATGTTGGATGTTTATCGCAAAGACACGATTAGGTTCGGTTAGGTTTAAAAGAATATTTATTATTATTTTCCTCTCAAAATTACTTTCGAGGTTATGATAATTCGAGCAAAAGTTATTTCTGGAAAATATCATTTCGAACTTCTGATAGGTTACAAACAGGTTCACAAGGCCATTAGTACACCTTTTGTTGTAATACTATCAAGTGACGGGACTAACAACTTGCGCCTGATTGTAAGCTACACGCCTGTCCATAACAGTTGCAGTGCCACTCAGAGCTTTAAATCGGAAAGATCTGAGAGGCACTACCACTGCGCCCGTCACACTGAGACATAAGTTGACAAGTCCCATGTGCCTGTAATTTCACCAGCACACTTGCCCTTCAAAACCGGAACTCAGTAATGCTGACATTCTGCTTGGCGGCAGAAATAGAAAAGGTGGCGGTGCTTCCCTGTACGACCTCTTTTACAAGGAGCTCTACTGCTACTAAACACCTTTTGAGAAGGCTTCCTTTACTGCGTGGGAGTTGCTTCTCGTTCGAGAAACTTTTTTCTCAGCTGTTATCAGCATAGCTATGTGACCCATGATTACTTCGTACTTTTTCATTGTTAACTAATCAATCAAGTACCACCGACTGCCTTCCACCAATCAGATGACAGCATCTGGCTAATTTTTTTGATGACCTCAGAAGCCCAGTAGGTATGTAGGTAATAATAGTAAACTTAAAGAGTGATTGTAAAGCAACGATCATATAGAAATAAACCGTCTTTCATTTAAATTGTTCGGAAATATAATAAATAATTAACAAAGAAGTTGATACTTCATTAAAATAAAGGAATTTTCGCTAAGCTGACTTTACGCCGCCGGTCCAATTCATCGGCGGCGGTGGTATTGATTACTGATGATGGCAAAGATTATCATATTAAAGATTACGAGGGAGCAGAGGAAAAATTCCTAATCTTCGATTTGATGTTAGAGGGGTATATCCACTTTAAAGTTAAAAATAAAATATTGTATGAGTAACTACACGATATATTCAAGCATAGACACTAATCAGAAACATAAAACAATAAAGTTTCCTCGATAGATAAAAATCACGAAATGACCTCTAATTTTCACATTTTTTCGATTCATCCTCGAAATGCTACAGGCTATTAGGACAAAAATTAGATAATTAATTATATTTATGCATGATCGACAACTGTCACTACAGATTTTTTATAATCCCTTTAGTTTTAGAGTTATTCCGTTAAAACGAATTTGGTACTTTTAGTGCGCAAAATTCAACATCTCCTGTCGCATGTCACGCGAACTTCAGGCATATATTTGTTTTACAAATTTGGGCGGAGCCAACGTCAAAACTTTTTTGGCATGCTCCCTCTTCATAGTGACTACGTATCAGATACGCGACTCTCATACAAAATACCTACGCTATAATAACTACTAAATTTAACTAATGAAACCAATCGCGAATCGCGAGCTGTACTGCTACCAGTGTAATTTGCTTACCTATGGAATAAATTTTATTTCGTCTAAGAACTCGACGAAAGTTTTATGTAAAACAAAAAATAACGCTGTCAACCGTGACCACTGACCATAGGACCACCAAGGGCTGAAAAAACAAATTCACGCCATTCGGGTTTACCGATAAGAAATAGTATATATATTTTTTCCAACTATGTAATTCGTATTTACAATAATAAACCCTTCAGCTCCTGTTTACTCTCAACAATTGCTACAACCATGATGACAATAGGCAATCAAAACTTGGATTAGCATGACGCGATTTGAATTAAAATGCATTATTTATTACTCTATGTTTTTCACGTGACAAATGTACAAATCATACAGCGCCAATAGAGCGGTGATAACCCGGTGAGAAATGTTTAACAAAAATATTTATTTTTATAGAAAATTGTAAAACACATTACATTAATACAAGGATTCGGTGACTTGTTAGTCCTGTCATTTGATATTATATAAAATTAAAATTAGGCAGGCTGTTCTTGACCGTCGTCTTCACAAGCTCATTTAGGTGACAATATAACAAGGTATACTCGTAGCCATGTTTTTTTTATACAAATGTAAGTGCGCATTTGACCTCCATCTCACCTGATGGAAAGTGACGATGAGGTCGACGATGGATCATGCACACCTAAATAATGCCTATTCACTCTTGCCTTGAAAAGGTCCAAGTTATAACGTTCAGGGAACAAGTCTGCAGGCAGGGAATTCCCACCATAAAAACAAAATGTGAAGTGCCGCCATAAAAACAGACATTGAACCAGTGCGTTCTACCAGTTATGTCCTATGTACCTACTGTGATGGGCACAGAGATCTCTCGTGTCATTTGAACTCCTCCAGGAATATCAGAATCTTCCTGGGTCTGCTAATGGCTTCAGGGAGCGACCTCGGCACTCCAATGTGTTTCGTCATGTAGTTCATAGAGGTTGTCCGTGTTACCTGATTTGAAAAGGTGTTTATTATACAGACCATGACCCGTTAATGCGGCAGTTTAAGAAAGCTTTTTTTTATATAAAAATATATAAGTGCGCATTTGACCTCCATCTCACCTGGTGGAAAGTGACGATGACGCGACGATGGAGCATGCACACCGAAATTCCTATTCACTTTAGCTTTGATAAGGTCCAAGTTTTAAAGTGCAGGGAATAACTCAGCAGGCAGGGTATTCCGCTCCATAGCCGTTAGCCATATAAATGTGGAAGCGTAACGCTTCGTGAATCTTTGGAATATCCACAACATAGAGTCGAATCTCTGGGCTCGCACGACGAGTCGCAAGAATTTGCGAATTCCTGTGACGTTAATCTTCTTTGTGTTCGTTCGTTGCGAATTCGCATCGCGGCGATTCGCAGTTTTGTGTTTCGACGTCCAGTCCCCCGGCGATGGAAAGTCGAATGTGGACTTAAATCCTGTAGAATACCGATTAGCGCGCAATTTCACGGCGTTGTTCAAGGCTCTGCAGTTTCGCCTACCTAATTATAAGTCGCCTTTAAGCCTCTTGACACATTTGTCGATCGAATCCAAGGTGGCCAGTTGGTATGTGGCAGAACCATGTGAAGTGCTCGACCGAGATTACAATGCGCTCAAAAATTTTAAAGGAACGCTGTCAGATTGGTGGAACTAGATTTATTCTTAGAGCATAGTTAAGTTTCTTATGGTTTGGTGATGTTAATATAGACACATTACGACATATACAGGGTTATTTTTGAAATCAACAACCTCACAAAGACTTCGCAGGTCTATATAATGAACATCATAAACATTTTTGATTTCATAAGCTTTTACTTTCATACAAAAATAAATAGATTTAAATAGATCGCTCAAAACGGTAATAACTCTGTGCGGGGGTGGGAGTCGTCTCGTGAACCTAGGAGGACGCTTGCACGTTTGAATCTTATTCTAACACATACAGATCTAAAAAGTGTCAGATAGTACAAGAAATACTTAAAAGTTTGTTTTTGGTAAATTTATGTTTTTTTAAAAAGTCATGAAACAACAGTTGTTGTTTGTGATGTCAGTAATATAATCCTGCGAGATATTTTAAAGATAACCCTGTATATGTCGTAATTTGTCTATATACTCGTATTAACATCATCAAACCATAAGAAAAGTATATATATACATA